TCATAAAATAAGAATTAAAGAAATATATGTTATTTAAATTTAAAATAAACATCAAAGAAGAATAAAAAGAAGAAATAAACAGAAATAAGTATGAAAAGATAACAATAATAAAAAGAAATAAAAGAAAATAAAATGTTTTATGAATAAAACAAGAAGAAAATCTATTTAATAATTAAAGAATTTATTCATTTCAATGATGTATTGTGTGATTAATATCATTCAATGAATATATTCCATTTCTATTAACATTTCTTTATTTATTTTTTCTTCATATCCTCCTTTTTCCTTTTCACTTCTTATTCTTTTTATTCTTCTTTTGTATATCATTTCTTGTTATTCATTTATATTTATTATTTTTATAATCTTTATTATCACAATATTTACTCTTATTTTTTATTTCATTTTTTATTTCATCTATCTCTTTCATTCTTTTTTTTCATTGTATTTCTTTTACCATTTTTATTTTCATTTTATATCATTAATGACAATAATTCTTCTCTATCTCCTTGAATGCTTATATCTTGTTTGTTTTTCTTTATAATAATCACAGATATTAATCCAATAATAACGTTAAATATAATTTGATATATTCATTGTATTAAAAGAGGATTTATAACAATATTTAATAATAATAGTTTTATTTACAATCTCATTTTATCTTTAATAAATTCTCATAGTTGATATTATTCAAGTGATGGATAATAAAGAAATAAAATGATTAAAATACAAATAAAAAGTTAAGACAATATTAATGTTATTTACTATGGTTGATGGCAATTTTATAAAACTCTTCATAGAGATTTGAGTCGATCTGGTTATATTCACTCACTAATCTCCATATTGTATTTGAACATAAAATGTTTTGTGTTGAAAATATTTTAAGGATAGTTGCTATTCTTTTGTTTACTGGGTGTGTTTGAATTATACAATTACTATTGATTCTTAGCCATAAGAATTCAATAAGTAAAATGGTAAATTCATTTTTTCTTGTTATAATAGCATTTAAATTGATAAGTATTTCTTGATCAGTTAACAATTCTTTTTTCCATCCATCAACAGCATCACCACATAATAATGGAAAATCATAGGCATAACACAGTGTTGAGTATAAATGAAAAATATGTTTTTGGTCATTTTGAGGAGCTAATAGAAATAAAGGATTAAAAATATCAATAGAAAGAGGAAGTTGTAAGGAGTGTTTCTGGACTAAAAGAGTTATTGAGTCTTTATGACAAATTTGAGTTGGAGAAGTGAATAACTGAACCAAGTCCATAGATGATTGAATAAAATGTGTTGAATTTGGTTCAAAGATAATACAATGTAGGAGTAATTGATAAATAAAAGACTCATCAAAATGATGTTCTTTAAATTTTTTAATAAAAGATTTAAATCCATTTGTTTTTAATTCATAATTTAATAATGCAAAGATTGAAGAAATTTTGGCAATAGGATATTGATATCCAATACCCTGTGCAAAAGAAATAGAAGTTTGATATTCATAGGGAAGAATTGGATTGTCTCTCAATGGATATATTTCATTTTCAAAATTAAAATCCATTTGTGGAATAAATTGATGATAAGATGATAGTCTAATAAATGATATTTGAATACATTCTGGAAGAATAGACTGAATAACATTATTTACGATCTTTCTTTTATCCAATTCAATTAATAAAAGTCCAATGAGAATATCATAAAATTGATTGTTTCTATAAAGAAGTGTTAAATGTTCTTTGAGATAAAATGAGATAATTTCTATTAATTTAAGAAGAAGTTCATTTGAAATTTGATCAATAATCTTCCAAGAGATTTCTACAACTATTTTAATGTATTGATGAAGTACTAAAAAAGATATATTTGGAGAGTCAAATATTATATTATTAGATAACATTTCATTTAATTTAATAATGAATTCAATATATAAAAAAAGAAGACTATCATCAATAAAATTAATAATATCTTTTACTAATTGAATATTTGAGTAAAAAGAAGATTGACATTTTCTTACAATTAATTTATGTTGATATTGAAATGATTGAACAGTTTGTTGAAATTGAAGTTGTTGAATTAAAGTTTTAAGTATTAATTTACATTGCAAATATGATGTTGGAGGTAAATAAAATGGAGCATTAAATAAATGTAGAAGTTTTATTGGTAATAGATTTTGTTCAATTAAAGTAAAACATGTTGTTTGAAATTGTGAATTAATAAATAAAAGTTCTATAACTAATGAATAATATTTCATAAAAGGAAGATGTTCTTGCTTTTTTAATAATTCTTCATAGTATGAACAAAATTGAATAATTTCTTTTTCTTTTAAACATTCATGAATTGTATTAAGTACTTTAGTAAATTGTAAAAATTTTAATAATGTTCTAAACACAGAAGTTAATACTTCTTTTTTATCTTCATAGTGAATAAATAAATTAATACAATAATTATAAATTTCTAAGACTAATAATCTTATTCTATCTTTAATATTATTTTGTCTTTGAATTAATTGAATATTACTATTATGATCTTTACATCCTAAATAACCTTCAAGTGCATTACCACACCAACAAATATTAATCTCTTCAACACTTTCAATTTCATGACTTTCATGGTCTGACAAATTAAAACAACCATTACAAAGAGTTTTGTTACATGTTTTACAAATTTTTCCTTTACAAAGAGTTTTAAGACAAATTTCTTGTTTTTGACTCTGACAAATCTTTTCAAAGTCTTCAAACGAAGTAACTTCACATTCAGTTAAAATAAATATTTCTAAGTTTCTTTCATTATAATCTTTATTACTCTCTAAAACCTTCTTCATTTTTACTATTAAATTAAATTATTATTTTCTATTTTTTTTCAAGTTCTTAGTCTCAAAAATAATAACATTGACTAACAAGAATAATATAATTAAAATTACTTTAAACTCATTATTTAATTATCTTCTCTTATCATTTGTTGACTCTTTTTAAATTGAAGTTCTTGAATTTTTGCTTCAATTTTCTCATTTAATGAAATTTCATCTTCAAACTTTTTAACAAGTTCATAAAATTCTGTTTCTTTTCTACTTATTTCTTGTAATTTTATTGAAATATTTTGTGAATTTTCTTCACTTTGTTGTAATAATTTTTGTTCTTTTATTATCATCCCTTCTAAAGAATTATTTGCTTTAATGATTGATTCAAGTAAAGACTGAAGTGTTTTATTATTTTTAACTCCATCCATTCCTTTAGTAATATTTTCTAAATTGTTTAATTCACTTTTGTATAATTCTTTTACTTCTGTCATGTAATTATACATTTCATAATAATAACGAGTATCTACTAAAGTAACTGATGTTTGTATTGATAAATAAATAAGTTGTTTTTGATATTGTTGTAATTCAAATTTACCAGGAATAGCATCAATTTCTTTTTCAATACGTTTTAAATTTCTTTTACGTTCTCCAAGAGCATGTTCTAACAATTCTATTTTAGCCATTTCTTTTTGGTGTTGTGTTTCAATTTTTTCAATTGCAGCTAGTTTGTCTTTATCTTCAATTGATGATTTGATAGTATTAATTGTTTCTATATAATAATCATGTTTTACTTTACAATCTTCTTTAAATTTTCTAATTTCCTCTTTAACTTCTTCAACTTCATTTGCTTTAATAACAATTTCTTGTTCTTCTTTTGCTTCTTCTTTCTCAGTATTTTGTATTTCATTGATTTGTTCTTCTATTTCTTCCTTTTCTGCTTCTAATGCTTCAACAGTACTTCTCATTCCTTTAAAAAATTTTTCAGCTTTATCTTTCTTTTCTTTTAATGTTTCTAATTCTTTTCTTTTTTGATTTACTTCTTCTTCAAGTTGTTTCGTTTCATCTTCATCAGCAATTGAATTTGTTTTCTGATCATTACTACTTTCTTCCATACGATAAACAACTACAAGTTCTTCAGGTTTATAAAACTTTTTATAAACAAATTCTGCATAATTTCTGAGAGTATCTCCCATGATTGTTCTTGCCTCTTCTACTTTTGTCATTAACCATTCCACAACAGGAAGTAATACTCCAAAATCAAGACCAGTAATTTGATGTGGTTGTAATAATCTTGGACATTTCATTTCTTTTAATGCACTACATACTCCTTCAGCTACTTGAAGCTTCAATCCCATAGTTGCATATTCAGAGTATGCAAGCCATAAATCTATTTCTAATGGATAACATGTAGCAGAAATTCCCCATGCTAATCCTCCAAGTATTTTGTCAAATGGAAGCAAATTAGTTAAACGAACTCGATAATACCCTGAACTTAATAATAAATCAGATATTTTTTTAAAAAGTCTTTCATTGTCAGAGTCAAAATTTGTCATTTTCATTAAAGAATATCCTTCCATCGTGTGTTTAATTTAAACAATTAAATTTAAGTTCTTTTAATTTCTTTTATAATTTTTTTTCAAAGAATCAAATGATTTAAAAAAAATTTTAAAGATTTTTTAAATTGAGAGAATTAATTAATAATGTCATTGATTTCAGGAATTGAAGGATATTTCTTCACAATCCATTGTGCCATGAAAGAACTATATAATAAATATTATGAAAAACAATAAATAAAAGAAAAAAAAAGCAAACGCAGATGCTGATTGGAGTTGTTCTTTTGAAGGGATTTGATTTAAAGAGAATGTTTTAGTATAAAAACTATTTGCACGAAGATTGCCTAGTGCTTGTAATTTCTAAGAAGATGAATAATGTAATATAACAAATATTAAAATAGAATAAACAAACAAGTAAATCATTAATTGGATATTCATACACTTGTTTAAATGTTAAAAGAGGAACACCCCCTTTCTTTAATTGTTTATGAGATAATTTCATATGAGATCGTGAACATGGACCACAAACAAAAACTCCATAATCCAAATCTACATAAGACACTTCTCTAAATAAACAATCTGCACAAATTCTATTTCCTGGAATTATTAAGAGATTAAGAACAAAATTAAATCCTTCAGTCATTTTAATGTCATCAGGAATAAATGGTAATGGTTCTTTAAGTGGCATTATTGGAAGAGCTTGTTCTTTAGAAACTGCAGTTGCTATATTAAATTTTGCAAATGCATTTCTTAAAGCAATTAACCATAATGATTTACTTTCATCATCTTTTACACTAAATGTATTAACTTCATATCTAAATGAAATTTCAAATGAAGAAGGACGTGCAGAAACTATGGGTGATTTAATAATAAAATTACTTACATCAATCATTTTTATAGGAGTTATTCCATTAAATATATCTACAGTATTTTTATATATATAAAGAATTGACCCAATTAACATTAAATAACATGGTTCCCATATTCCTGTTTGAAGATCTCTATACGTTGCTTCTCCTTCAAAATCAGGTTTAGCTAATAATTGTTTATTTTTTTCAATAACTTCTTGTAGATTTAATGTATTAGAACTTATTCCATTTTGTTTAATTAATTCAGCACTTCTAGCAACTAATGGTGAATATTTTAAAACTAAGCAATCATTAATTGCATTCATATATTTAGATTTATCTTCCATAGACTCACAAGCAATTAAATATGTTAATTCTTTAGTAATTAAGAAAAATCTATTGGTGTTAAAATCAATTAATGAAGTACTAAATAATTCTAATACATCTCTACATTTAAATTTACCTGAATTTAATAAAGTGTCAACAGGATTATCTTCAATTATTTTAGATGGTTTAGTTGCAGGAATAAATAATACAATATCAGAGAATAATAACATTAAATGTTGTTTTTCTGGAAATAAATCTTGTAAATTAAATTTGGTAGGATGTCCTTGAAGACGAACAAAACCACCCATAATAAATCTTCTGTATTTATCTCCTGCAAGATCTATTTTTTTTAATGTAATCTTTGATGCTAAAAATTGTACTCTTTGAATATTTTCATTATTTCTTCTTGTTTCATTTAAATGTTTATTAATATCAGAAACAACTTTTAATGCACGAGTTAATTCTTGTCGTTCTTTATGATGATTTGGCATATTTTTTATTAATTGTTTAATAAATAATTCATATCTAGGAATACGTTGAACAGGAAGAATTAAATAACTAGCGATAGTTTGATTTTTAACTTCTGGTTGAAGACTAAGTTCTTTAAGTTTATTTCCATAATTTTTATTTTTAATAGATTTTTGATAAATGTCATCAGATATTTGAGACTGATGATTTACATAAGTTGTATATGATTTAAGAAACATTGTAAATTGAAGAAATTGTTTAGCAAATCCATCTCCATAAATATTTTTATCTTTTCTAAATTGTAATAATGAATTTAATAATGTTTGATTATATTTAATTATCATTTCAAGGTCTTTAATTGTATTTTTTAATAATTCATCTTTATTAAAGTCTAATAATTTTTGTAAGTAAAAATCTTTTAAAATGATCAAGTTATTGACATAAGTTTCTTCACTTGTTGTTATTTCATTTATAGTATATTTTCTAGTTTTCATTCCTTGGACTTCTTGTGTTCTTCTAACAAAATGACCACGAATTAAACATTGTAATTTGATTACTAATTTTTCAGCAAAAATATTATCTTGTAATTGTTCTAAATGTTCAAACTTTTTATCTTCTTTTTCTATATCATCAAGATATTTTTGTTCAGTAAGAATTTGACGTGCACAAGTAGTAACAAATTCTTTTAATCCTTTTGGTGTAAGTTTTAATTCTTCCATAACATTTTCATCATCTTTAACACCTGTAACAATAAAATATTTCCCTTTAACTTCAAATACTTTTTCATTAATTCTTTTAACATCTCCTTTAGTAATTCCAACATTAGTCCCTGGTTTTCCATCAATTTCAACTTCTTCTATATCAGTTGAAGTAAATTTTCTTGCTTCTCTAATTTTTCTTATTTCTTCTTTTCTACGACGATATGATTTTAAAGGAACAGGAGGTAGGGCATTAGTTGATAAGTCATGAAAACTTGTTATTTTAGTGTTATGTTGAAGGAAATTTCTTCTTTCATGAATTGGAGTTGAGTTATTACTTTGAGTCGAAGTAATATTTCCAGTAGATGTTGTCATTTGAGGTCTTTTAGCAACAGAGATTCTAACACCATTAGTTACATCTCTACTTGTTTCTATATTTTTGATAGTAAAATTAACGTTATGATTCATTTTAACATTTTGACTACGAATGAGTTCTTTTTTAACAAATGTTTGTCTTGTTATTGTTTGTGATCGTTTTCTGTCAGCTTCTGATGATGTTTTTAATACTTCTATAAAACCTAATGTAACTTTTTCATCTCCATCTGCAATATTACTAACTTCAACTCCATGTAATGTACCAAACTTACGTTCAGCAAGTCTTAAAGCTGCATTAATATTAATAAGTTTTTGTTCTTTTGTTATTGGATGAGGTTCAATATTTCTAGAATGAAGATGTGTTAATTTTTCAACTAATCGTAATAATATAACTCCATCAGTAAGGTCATCTAATGAATTAATAATTAAAACACCTTTACTTTCTGCTAATTGTTCATTTACCCAATCAATATAAAGTTGTGTATGATCCTCCATAATTGAATTTTAGAGTTTTTGTATTTTTATAAATTTTACTTTTCTAAAGGAAAAAAAGTTTTAAAAAATTTTGAGATATTTTACTTATTCAATTTCATTTTTTATTTTTGTTATAGAAGAAAAATAAATTTTAATGTTATTTAAATAATTCAATGAGAAATAATAAAAAATTAATAATAACTATTCATTTGATACCTAGAAATATTCTAATTTACATTTCATCGTCAAAAAAATCAAAAATATATCCTTCATTTTCTTTAGAATCTCCTGGTATTATTTCACAAAGATAATGATTTGTTAAAATAGTTTCTCTAGGTAAAATATGTTTATTATAATACTCTTCAAATTGGCTCATAAATAAATCATTATGAGTTTCATCACTTGGGTCATCTTCTGCAACAAGATGAATATTACTCATTAAAATAATTGTTAATGAATGGTGATCTGGATAATAATTAAATTGATTTTTAAATTGAATAGATTTTTTGTCTTCTTCAACAAGTCGTTTTAATAAACCAATTTCAAGTAATGTAGATTTTAAAGGTTCAACTGATTGATTAATAATAAAACTAATAATATCAAATGCTATTTGTCTGAATATAGTACAGTTATGATTAAAATTAAAAAATATATCAAGTAATATATTCATTAATTTATATTTAATAATAAGATTATATATATATGAATAATTAGATAATGTTAATGAAAGTAATAAATGTACTAATTGAATTCTAACTTGTGTAATTGGTCCATTTTCATATTTAAAATGATAAGAAATTTGTTCAAAATATTTACATATTTCTTGATACACCATTGGTAATTCATTATAAGGGTTTATACATAGGTCTCCTGAATAAACACAACAAGCTAAAATATTTTGAATAATACAAAGTCCTTTTTCAAAAACATATAAAGACCTCTAATAATAAATAAATATTAAAATAATTAAAAGAAATAGAATTGTTAAACAAACGGTATTAAAAATTATTGAGTAAAAAGAAGATAAATTTTCATTAGAATTTAAATAATTATTAAAAATAAAGGAAGATTCTTTAAGTAATGTAATTTCTTCAATAAGAGATGTAATGCTTTCAATTTTATCATTATCCCCATTACTTTCTGATACAACAAATAACTTTAATAAATCACTAACAAATCCATTTTGACACAACCAGTATGCACCTGTAGCTTTACCTAATTCATCGTTAGATGAATATTTCATTATACTAAGAATAAATTGAGACACTTCATAATTATTAATTTTATTCATAAGAACATTAATAACATTAGGAGTTTGTGACATAATTTCAAATACATTTGATGTTGGTAAATTCATTAATACCGATAATACACGACTAATACAACTTATTGTTATTTCATCTTCAGATTGTGAAATTTCTTTAAAGAGAGAATTAATTAAATGAGGGAAATAAAAAATATTTTCTGAAATTGTCATAATTTCAGAACAAACTATTTGTGTAGCTGGAGATTGAAACCTTTCATCACCTGTTCCACGAATATAATCAAACAATTGATCTAATACATGTTCTCCAGATATACTATTTCATTTAGTACTTTTTTTATTATGTTTTTTATCATTTTATTATTAACAAACAATTTTTGAAGTCTTTTATTAATTCTTAACTCAGTTAAGATATCTGGTAATTCTAATAATTTCTCTAATGAACAGTTAGGAGACCTTAATACAAAATTAACTGGAGAAGGTACTTGCTCAAGATATGGGCTTTGGCTCATTTTCATGTCTGACTGAATTTCTAGTGAAACGAAAACAAAAGTCAAATCAAAACGAAATTTTATATAAACCAAAAATATAACACCTCCTTTTTCATTCTTGTACTTTCTTTTGAACCTATTATCTTTTTTTTTAATTTCCTTATTCAAAATTCTCTATTTTTCTTCATTTATTACATTTCTATGGTAGTTAAATACTTTGTTTTCCTTTAAAATCGGAACATAATGGTTTTTGCCTTTTGAAGAAACCTCAACACCACCGATTTAGAATAAAAAACTCGAAATTCTTTTTATTCTTTTTGTCGTGTAAATCCTTCTTATCAGTCCTTTTGGCCCTTCTTTTACCTTCTTTTATTTTGAATTTTCTTTGATTTTTTGAACTTTTCAACTAAATTTATCTTGTAAATCAAAAAAAAAATAAAAAAAAATAAAAAGTAATTAATTAAGTA